AAATAAATAATAATAATAATAATGATGAAGATAATGATGATGATGATAATGATGATAATAATAATAATAATAATAATAATAATAATAAAAGGGTTAAAAAAGAGAAAATTAAAAATAAAATATAATACAAAATGGAAATATAATTTGAAGAGATAAAACAAGTGAGATGTATATACCCTCTTGTATTAGTAAATAACTTGGACAAAAGAGAGAATATTTTGAAGTTTTTTTGTGAAACAACATAAGTTCACAATATTTATCTATAATTATCTATTTAAGAAAAGTCTTGAGATATGGCTAGCATCATCTACTTTGTGGCATGGTATAAAATGAGTCATCTTACTAAAACGGTCCACTACGACAAAGATAGAATCATAACCCTTTTAGGTTCTTAGGAGACCAAGCACAAAATTCATACTAATGTCAACCCAAGGGGTGCTAGCTATAGGAAGAGGTGTGTAGAGTACATAAGTCATTATTTTAGACTTTGCTTGTAAGCAAGTTATACATTTAGAATAAAACCTTTGGATATCTACTCTCATGTGTTTCTAATAAAATCTATCTTCTAGAATTGTTAGAGTTTTATCAACTCCAAAATGGCCCATGAGACCTCTCTCGTGACTTTCTTTCACAAGAATCTTTCTTATGGATCCTTGAGGTACGCAAAGTTTTCTCATTTTCAAAAGGTACCCCTTAGAAACATAAAACCCATCAAAAGGCTTCTTAAGGCTTTGAGCATAAGTGGATTGTAAATCTTTATCATGCTCATACAATTCCTTAATGTTATCAAATCCAAGAATGTGAGACCCAAGCATAGTAAATAATGTGTGTCTCCTAGAAAGAACACCAGCTACAACATTATTTTTTCCCTTCTTATATATGTTAACATAGGGGAATTGTTCTAAATATTCATCCCACTTAGCATGCCTTTTGTTTAACTTACCTTACCCTCTCAAATACTTAAGTGACTCATGATCTATATGAATGATAAACTCTTTAGTCACTAAATAATGTTCCCATGTTTGGAGGGCTCTAATAAGAGTATATAGCTCTTTATCATAGGTGGGATAGTTCAAGGCGGGACCACTTAGTTTTTCACTATAGTAAGCAATGAGGTGACCATCTTGAAGAAACACAACACCTATGCTTATTCTAGATGCATCACATTCTAGCTAAAAGGTTTGGGAAATGTTAGGAAGAGCTGGAACTGGTGCATTGTTGAGTTGGTCTTTAAGTTGTTGAAAAGACTTTTCTTGTTTCTCACCCCAAATAAAAGACACATCCTTCTTAACCAACTCATTAAGAGGAGATGCAAGAGTGGAGGAATCTTTTGCAAACCTTCTATAGATGCTTACTAACCTATGAAAGCTTTTAATATCTCCTACACTCTTAGGGGTGGACCATTCTTGGATAGCCTTAATTTTCTCAAGATTAACCTTAACTCCCCTTTTCAAATTAAGAATCCCAAAAGGTTAACATTTTCATGAAAAATAATACATTTCTCTAAGTTAGCATAGAGATGGTTGTCTCTTAGAATAATTAAGACTTTCCTAAGATGACCTAGATGCTCACCTAGGCTTTTATTATAAATAAGGATGTCATCAAAATAAACAACTACAAATTGCCAATTCAATTCCTAAGCACATGGTTCATTAACCTCATGAATGTACTAGGGGCATTGGTTAAGCCAAAAGGCATGACTAACCATTTATATAAATTAAACTTAGTTTTGAAAGCAGTTTTCCATGCATCTCTTTCTCTAATTCTTATTTGAGGATAACCACTTTTATGATTAAGTTTGGAAAAGATAGTTGCCCAATGTAACTCATCTAGAATATCATCTAACCTAGGGATTGAGTGTCTATAATTAATGGTGATGTTATTTATAATTCGACAATATGTGCACATCCTCCATTTTTCATCTTTCTTAGGCACTAATAAGGAAAGCACAACACAAGGCCTAAGGCTTTTTTGAACCCAAATTCTTCAACTAATCTTCAACTTGACTATTAATCTCTTATGTTTTTTGGGGTTTGTCCTATAAGTAAGCTAGCTCTAGGAATCAAGTAAATTTGATGTTCTATTCCTCTTAAAGGTGGAAGTCCACTAGGAACTTCCTTAGAAAATAGATCATCAAATTCATTTAGAAGTTTTTGAACCCCATTAGGTAGAGAGTTAAGTTCAAGACTAGTGGTAACTAGTGTCTCTTAAATATAGAAAAGGTAAAGAGGTTTTTCTACTAGAAGTGATTATTTTATTTCATGTTTGCGAGAAAAAGAACTTCTAGGTGTCGCAACCCGAAAATTTCCGATCCTGCGACCTATGGTTTAAACATTCTTTTAAAGATCTCATCAATTAAGGAATGCCCGGACACCAGACTAATCCTTAATTAATGGTTTTGAAAATAGGTTCATGGAGTCGCCACCAATATTTTACTCAAAACATTGGAAAAAGAAAAGGTTTTTAAAAGTCCAATAATGGCCTTGATAACCAAAATTGGGTTCGGGGGTCGGTTACGTGTAGGGAAGGTATTAAGCACCCCTACAACGCCCTTAATCGGTACCCTATGACGAAGTTAACATTATAAATAATAATAATATAAATATTAAATCCCATTTTATTAATAATTATTTACATGTTTAAAATTTAAATTATACAATTAACTCTAAAATGTCTACATGATTATTTTTATTATAACAATATTAATTATAGATAAGAAATAAATAAATAAATAAAAGAGAAAGAGATTAACTGAAATACCTCTTGAATGAGCTCTATTGAATCTTCAAAATAGGAAGATTTGGGTGCTTTTTGGCAACCCTTCACACTATAATGCCTCACAAAAATCTCAAGAAATACAATAAGAGAGGGGAAGAGAGAAAAAGAGAGAAATTTCGAGTTATAGGAAGTCTGGACGAAATTTCGGAGTCCGGAGAAATGAGCCCCAACCGTCTATTTATAGACTTCAGAAGGGGGGTCCAGAACGGCCCGTTCCAAAATCGGAACGGCCGTTCTGGATATGGTCGTTGTGCCTTAATTTGGACCCTGGAACGGCCCGTTCTGAAACCGGAACGGCCCGTTCCGGGGAACCAGAACGGCCCGTTCTGATTTCAGAACAGCCCGTTCTAGGGTCCAAATTCAGCACACATGATTGGTCTCGAACGGCCTTGGAACGGCCCGTTCTAGATTTAGGAACGGCCCATTTCGGACCCGTTCCAAATAAGCTTTTACCCCTTTTTGG